GACTCTAAAATTACCTTTTAAAAAAAACTTTATTAAAGTATAATTTACATAAAATTTACCCACTAAAAATACATAATTAAATGATTTTTGGTAAATTTCTAGACTTCTGTAACCATAATCACAATCTAGCTTTTTAATATCTGTATCACCTAAAGAAATTATAATTCTCCTGAGCCAGGGCAGACAATCTTACCGCTACTCTGAACAAAACTTCATGTAAGCAATTTTGAGAGCCCAGCAAAAAGTGCCTCAATAGCCCTCTGGTATGTGTGATGGCACAGAGTGGTTTGTTCACTTGTTGGGTAATATTTCTCCCTTTTTTCCCTTCCTTGAAAGTTCTACTGGCAACCTGTCATTCTGCACATTTACAGTCAACCATTTCATTCCATCTCAGAAATCACACATTTAAAGAAATGGAATAAACTACAATTTCAAATTTGGTTAATCTAAAAAATTCTCTCAGAGAATTCACATTTACTCAAATGAGTCTATACTGAATGGGTGGCAAATTATTCTGCTAGTATAAGACAAAAGGATAAAAGGCTATTATAGGAAAGAAGTTAACGTTAGAAAAATTCTTTACCTCTGGAAAAAAGCCACTATATTTTGATGATGAGCTTTCTGTCTGTGGTGAACTAGAATCACTGGAGTTAATCAAATATGTCCGACTATCATGACGTAATTTTTCAGCAAGGTGGCTTGCACAAGCCAGTTCATTTTCTTTATTTGCCATGACACAGCCCCCACGTCTAGGGGACTGTTTTTTTCTGTAACAAGTATTTGGAAAAGGATGCTGGACTTTGTTTCTGCAAAAGACCACCTTACGTAGTTTGTCTGGGCTCTTCACAGCTTGTCCAACTGTTCTGTAAAAACAATTAATTCTCTTAAATGAAAAAAACCACATGAAAACCTTCAAAAACTTTAGAAACATTTTGATTTGTAAATTATTACCTAACTTGGGAGGGACTGGAGAGCATTATGCTGAGTGAACTAATTCAGTCCCACAAGGACAAATAGTGTATAAATCCATTACTGTAGAGTGAGTACAAGATCCAAGAGGGGTGAGAGAGGTTGGAAGCAGAACGATGAGGATGTGCAGGGGGATAAGAGGGTTAATCATGGGGTCGTACAGTCTGATGCGTGGGGGTTAAGGGAAATTAAAAGAATCTGTTCTTGAAAGCAATTTATTTGAATTTTGTAAATAGACTGGTAGAAAATTTTAAATATATATAAAAAATTAAATTAAAAAATTTTTAAACAGATTTAATGGGCTACATTAAAACAGAAAATGAATAGAACAATTTAAAAAAATCTTAAACTCTCAGAAGAAAGAAAACAGAAAGGGAAGTTACAAGTTACTTAGAAAGCAATGAAAAAGATATCTAATGAAAATTAAAATAGGGAAAGAAATAGTATGTAGAGGCTTTAAAAATACAATATCAAGGCCATTATGATGGTAAGAAAAGGACAATTTTTAGGCATCAAATCTTATTCTAAGGGAGTCCTAATGGTAGAGTCTGCACTACTAACGCAAAGGCTGCACCTTGCTGGTGTTTTCAATCTACCAGCCGTTCTGAGGGAGGAGGATGGGCAATCTTTTCCTATATGATTTACAACCTAAGAAACCTATTGGAGGGTCAGCTATGAGTCAGAACTAACTCCACAGTAATGAATGAATGAGTTCTGTTCCAATGAAAAGATAATAAATTGTATAAATTTAAAGTTTATTTTATTAAAGTTTATTTGATTACAATGAAACATATTTGTGTTGCTGCTGTTGTTACCTGCTATCCAGTCGCTTGCAACTCATAGTGACTCTATGTACAAGAGCCCTAAACCTTGCTGTATCCTGTGCCAGCTTCATTGTCTCTGATACACCTACTCCCATTACCCCAGTCACTGAATCGATCCATCTCATTGAGGGTCTGCCTTTCTTGCACTGTCCCTCCACCCTCCCAAACATGATGTCCCTCTCCAAGGTCTGATCCCTCCTTGCAACATGTTCAAAGTATGTCAGATGAAGCTTCAGAATCCTTGCCTCCAAAGAGCAGCCTGGTCTCACTCTCTCCAGGACAAACCTGTTTGTTCTCCTAGCAGTCCATGGTATATTCAACACTCTCCTCCAACATCACAGCTCAAAAGCATCAATTCTCTTTCTATTATCCCCAGTCATTAGCCTGTATCAGGTGCACCTTAATCCCCAGACTGATGTCGTTGCTCTTCAGTACTCTGAAGAGGTCCCTGACAGCTCTGACATTCCCAATGCAATTCGTCTCTTAATTTTCTGGCTGCTGGTGCCAAGAGTGTTGACTGTGGAGTCAAGCAAACTAAAACTTAACAATCTCAATCTTTTCACCATTCATTATGATGCTGTCAATTGGCCCAGCAGTGAGAATCTTTGTTCTCTTGATATTCAGCTTCAATCCATAAAACATAATATAGTGTATCATTGCTGTCAGTTTGTCATATTTGATGCTTGTATGTTGCTATGATGCTGGAAGCTCTGACAACTGGTCCTGCATTCACCAGCAGTGTCACTCATGGTGGTAATGCTATAGCGGAGCTTCCAGAGTAAGATCCTATTGGAAAAAAGGATCTGGAGTTTCTTGCTGTGTTGTTCACAACAGCAAAGAGATGAAAACAACCCAAGTGCCCATCAACAAATGAATGGATAAAGAAGTTGTGGTATATTCAATGGAATACTATGTAGCACTGAAAAACAAGGAACTCATGAATTATTATACAAAATGGGTGACCCTGGAGGACATTATGCTGAGTGAAATATCCAGTCACAAAAGGACAAATACTGCATAATGCCACTGTTATAAAACAGGACTGACATGGTGGTTGGGGGGAAACTAAGAAAAAAGGGGATATATAATATACACTGCATTGAAACAGATAACAAACAGAACTGCTTAACAGGAATATATGATTAGGTATTATCTGCATGACAATAGTTCAGAATAAGAGTTTCATGGTATAGACAACTGTGTGTGGGGTAAGGGTAGAGAGGAACTGTACACAATGAAATAATTTTTTTCAAAAGAAAAGTTAACTGAGAGGGGGCGGCAGGGAGGAAAATGTGCAATGAATGAATGGAAATCCAAGTTCTCTATAAACTTTCATTAAAATCTCAGGTTTTTTAAAAAAAAGGATCTGGCAATTTACCAAGTTGGCCAGTGAAGACCTTAGGAGTGAACACTGTCTAATACAGAGCCAGATGATGATGCCTTCAGGTTGGAAGGCACTCAAAATACAACTAGGGAAGAACTGCCAGTTCAAAATAGAGGTGATCTTAATGACATCAATTGAGGAAAGTTCTCAGGACCTTCATTTCCTGATGTGGCCCAACTCAAAATGATAAAAACAGCTGTAAACATCTATTCATAATTAGCATTTGAAATGTAAAAGTATAAATATAGGAACATTGGGAGTCATCAAAAAGGAAACAGAACTGAAGATAAACAAGAAAATGTTTGTTGTTAGATGCCCTCGAGTTGGAGCTAAATCACAGCTGATCCTATGAGGGTTGACAAGCGGGTTGTCAAAGGCTGTAAACTGTACTGGAGGAAGGTGCTCCCATCTTTCTCCTGAACAGCAGCAGGCAGCCTCAAACCACCCGCCTTTTGGTTGGCTGTGCAACTCCATACATCAGAGCTCCCTGCTGAAATGGACTGGTATTGCCCACTTAAAATTGGGTAATCATATTCATTGTCAAAATAACATTTCAGGATCTATATTCTTTTTCCCCCTACCATCTTGTGGGAACTTGTGGAAGCCTTGCTGGGAACAAGACATCTAAACTACAAATATGACCAGAAAGCTGTGATGCAAGCTCATTTTTTCTGGCTATAAACAAAGTGTTTATGTCTGAAATAAAACTGAATTTTACTTAAGCACAAAATGTGCTATGGATATAATACAAAATAGTATATGGTGGCTTCCAGTAGAAAACCTCAAGAAACCAGAGTAATATATCCATAGCACATTTTGTGCTTAAGTAATTCCAGCCTATGGGAACCAAGCCATGGTTTGGGCCAGATTCTGAAGCTACTTCTCTGCTAAGGCCTTTAGACACAGTATCTATTTCCTTCAAGAATTAAGTTACTAAAAACCAAATTTTAAAAATCAAAGATTTATGGTGCAACCACTGTGGAAGGCAGTATGGCGCTTTCTCAGAAAGTTAAAAATCGAGATACCATTTGACCCAGCAATTCCACTACTGGGAATATACCCCAAAGAGACCATAACTGAC